GACCTTGAGGTGATAGTTATTTTAGGTTCGTGTGTGTGGGTAGTTCTACTCGTTGCTCGTTCGTTGGCATCCTTTCTCTGCATTTTCAGTCATATTTGTGTAATTACAGACTCATGTAGTGACTATGATATGTATATTTTATGTATCGTAAAAAGCACAGATTTGATGGATTCTTCTATTCTTTCAAGTACACGGTATCGTAGTAACACTCTGGTTTAATACGCCTCGGAGTTTTTGTACTTGATGTGTGCCGGGTGGGGCGCGTTGTAGTGACACTCTACTAAGTATACTTTAGCAGATACGAATAGAGAGTGTAATCGAAAATAAGTCTAAAGTGTCAACTTAGGAATAGTGATCAGCTGATGTATTCTTACATTCGCATTATAAGTGTGTTTCATTACTTCCATAGTAAAGTAACTACGAATGATTAGAATGTATCACAAATAACAGTGAATCAGCTGCATCGTGGCTCTTATACACTGATGTTTTTGGAAACGCTGACAGACATGCTATTCGTAGTCTGTTGTTCTATACATTTTAATTTAAACGACAGAAGGAAAATTATACAAAAATCAGGAAAAATCAACAAGCGTAATATTTGAATATTATAATCTATTCTAGTCGTTACGTATGAGAAGCTAACCTCCGGTGACATATTTGTCACAGCCCGTGCGCGATAGGCAAACATGTGGCATGATACTTGTCATGGCTTATAGCTGTCAACAGTTGTTCGAGAGGAACGCGTGTTAACACGTGTGTAAAGACTACTAGCCCGAATTGCATTGGAGCCTTGAAGAAGCAATGATCAGCCAGTGAGCGTAACTATGTACGTATGTTTACTCGGCAGAACTAAAGTAGCTTATAGGTTGACCTATGGCGATCGCAAGTATACGTGACCTTGGCGATTTATAAAAGCTGAGAATTCATTGCGTTTTAAATGCGTCCCATTTGACTGTGATCAGGGAGAAAAACATCACGAAAAAGAATATGTGTGTTATATTAGGTGATCCAATTTAGCGCGCTAATCAAATTAGAGACTAATTTTTCTTAATTGGGTCAGAGAATTGATAATTGTGTGTTGTTTGAAAGCCTCTCTGCACCCAGCTTTTGTTATTATGATCATTGTTCTACTTCGTCCTCGCGCTTACTCGATGTAAGCCCCTTTCGCTCCGCACAGGGGAGTATATATAGCTAGCTGCGTTGAAGGTTTTTTCGGCATTGACGGCTCCCCTCGTAGGCGTGGACCAGCGTCTTGTGCAAGGTAGCTTTAGACGTGCGTATATTGGTTGGCGGCTCGTCTATCCCGGCCCCGTCGAGTCATCGTCACTCGCCGGGTCGTTCAATTCCCTGCACTGCGTTTGCCTCTAATAAACATACCCTACCCCTGGTGTGGCGTGTGCGTGCGTGCGTGCGTGCGTGCGTGCGTGTGGCGTGTGGTGTCTGCCTGTGTGCGTGCATGGGCGTGCTGTGAGCGTGTGTGTGTTGGCCTGTGTGTGCGCTGCGGGGTCGTGGTTGGTGTTCTGCCTGCTGTGCGTGCGTGCGTGCGTGCGGGCGTGTGTGTCTGCCTGTGTGCGTGTCGTGGCCGCGGGCGTGTTGTCTGCTGCGTGCGTGCGGGCGGGCGGGCATGTGTGTGTCTGCCTGCGTGCGTGCGTGCGTGCGTGCGGGCGGGCGTGTGTGTGTCTGCCTGTGTGCGTGCGTGCGGGCGGGCGTGTGTTTGCCAGTGTGCGTCAACGCACATGTTCACACTGAACCGTGTGTGTGGCGGGAGGGGGAAGGAGGGAGGCTGCTGTGAATACCAGTGCTCTTTTTTGTACAACATTTCGCGCACGCACATATGAGCAGACAACACGTGTGTGTTTGTCGGAGTTAGGGGGAGGGACTGGGAGGGAGGGAGCGAGGCAGGGACGGCGGTCTTCAAACCTTTAGCGCCGCACCATTTCTACAGAAACCAAGACATCCTGCGTATAAACATGCATGCACGTTCACAGCATATCCTTTTTCAGCGTGTTTTTCAAATTGGCACATTTACCGAGGGCAAATTGGGTGCTATGTGGTAATATTAGGAATTTATCAATATACACGCATGAATGTGTGTATTTGTATATGGTACTGTTATGTGCAAATCCTGGTAATATTGATGACTGAACGTTATCTTGTAACATTTTGCCAATTAATTACATAACAAATTATGGCATTCATTCATTGATAAAAGGGTAACGTGTTTAAAATAACATGGTTTTTAGCTCACCTTGACATCGTCAAGATGATCTATTGCCATGGGGTGTCGTCCGTCGTACGTCCGTCCGTCCGTCCGTCCGTCAACATTTGGCTACGGTCAACGATAACTCAAGAACCGTTTGACCCACATGTTTCAAATTGCATATACTTGTTACTCTTATGGGAGAGGTTTGAACGTCTTATTTTGGAGCACGCCAGTCGACCTTCTTTCGAGCCACGTCCACTTTTTGGCAAATATGTAAATGGCCATAAGTCAGTTCAGGTTCAACGGATTTTGCTAAGGATCTGCCGTTGAATAAGGACTGGCCCCAAAATATATCACACGGGGTTTTATATATTTTTTAAATTATGCAAATTAAGTAGATTTTGGCAATTTCACTATGCATTTCAGTGTCTGCCTACGGTCAACGCCACCAGATTGTATGCCAACAGATCTGAAACATTTATGTTCGCCTCAAAAATTACTCATATATCATCATTATCAAGAGTATATAATCGGAGTTCTCCCATATATACTCTTGCTTTATATATCCCCCCTTCCTTTTCTATCACACCCAAGGTGAGCTACAGTGTCATTGACACTTTCATTTGATATAAGTGGTAGTAAGATCATGGGTGTGTACATCTATGTATACTGTATCTGTGCTAACGACACCCCACAGTTAGCTGGCCGTTGTCATGCAACTAGATATAGTCTGGTGGATAGTGCATAGTTATATAGTCAGATACATACAGCACAAATGCATAACAATGTCTGTTAAATGACGTTTACCATTCACTGCTAGATTTCTGTGATTTTTCCTCCATCATATCTAAACAACGTACTCGCATCTATCCAGTGCTGGGTCTTTTCAAATATAATGAAACTTAACCCTGCAAAATGTAAAGTTATGCAGGTATACTTTGGTAGAAATAGACTTCAAGATGCTGAACTTTTTTTAGAACACTTTCAATTGGAAAATTTGGCAACTTTGAAGATCTTGGGTGTATGGTTCCAGCACGACCTTAAATGGGCCATACACGTTCAAGATTTGGTGGCTAGAGCCAGTAAAAGAATGTTCATGCTTCGTATACTAAAAAAATCTAGGCTTGCTGTGAAGATCTCGTACAAATTTACTGTGGTTACGTCAGACCGATTCTGGAATGTGCTGCACCCTTCTTGCACCCAGGCCTTACCAAAGAGCTCTCACGTCTAATTGAATCTGTTCAAGTAAGGGCAGTGAAAATAATAATAGGTTATAATAATTGGAATAGGTACGACATGTACGATGAGGTACTATCTCAGCTTCAGTTCCAAAGACTTGCGTTTCGTCTCGAGCAGCTTTGTGAAAAAGTGGCTTATCAGCTCAAAAGTTGTAAACGATTACAGGATATTTGCCTTCCTTCAGCAATAAATGTGTCTAACCGCATAACACGGAATTCTAGTAAACTCCGGCTTGCAAAAGTCCCTCGTACCAGCCGGTACTTCAATAGCCCTGTTCCGTACATGTGCAGGATGATTAACAAATTGTAAACAGGCACTGGATTTTTTACAATAGCATGGATAATTAGGCTTTTGCTTGCGCCCCATTATAAACATTTTGGTCTCTTTGAAATAACTCTCTGGGCAACTTTCGGTTATGTGATATGTTTGATTCTATCATTGTGTCGCATTTTAATTGTAACTATTTTTTGACCAAGGATCACGTTATTTTAAATTTAGTATATATTCTAAAGATGGTTTTTAGTTTAATGATATCATTTTACGAATCAACATTTTAAGTGATATCTATCTATATATAGTCTTACCATGGGACATATATTATTGTAAATATCATCAATTTCAGTTTTATACTGCCTGATGATATCTTGTTTGCAAAATTTATTTTAATTGTAACGTTGTTAACACTAGTTTTGCAATAAACCTATTATCTATCTATCTATCTATCTTTTTGGGGGTTTAGCCTATACCGATTCTGCTAAATGTGCCAGTTTTCACTGCGCGTGCAGTACGGTACCAATATGAGCAAAGAGCTGTTAAGCCAGCAGCAGTTAATGTAGTGTCTAACACTCGTGCAGCACGCAGCGATTGTAGCAAGGATGCGTGGCCATGCATGCTATAATTAGAAGCACAGCCGCATCAGTGGTCATGACCAGGAAACTGTCAGATATCGTCACACCGCGCCTGCCTAGCGGCTGTTTATACGTCCGAGTAACTGTCCACGTTCTAGTAAAAGCGGCGGGAAAACTGACCGTGCGTGCATTCGCGCTGTTTCCGGCAACGTCGTGCCATGCTTTAAAGCGTGGTAATTAGAGATAAACGTATACAGTGTTTTAATAGGAAGTCTCCTACCACGCTGAACGAGTTAGGGGGTGTTTGGAAGTTATTCTTTTCATTGTTATCAAACCTTGGCATATTTCGTTGAGCATAATTCCCTGTATCTAACTAGGTGACTACCACCCATGCAAGTCGACAGTTACTACACGCGTCCCCCTTAAATGGAAATTATTTCCCACACATCTGGCATGCGCAGACGTGCTTTAAATTATGTAATTTAGGTCACCCTTTTAAGTAATAATTTTTAAAACGAAGTAATAAAAATGCACTGGCCATGTATAGGATTACGTCGCATTTTCCCCCAATATAAGGAATTTAACTACTAATTATCTAAACTGAATATGCAAAGTTTGTTGTTATTTACTGAAAATTAATCAGAAATTCTCTCACTGTGGAGTGCTTGTGAAAATTTCTCATTATTTAATTATAACTATTCTCATTTCAGGCAGCCTGCTACAAGGAGGAGAGAGATGTATTGGTGTTTGGTAATAGACAGTGGATTACACGATTGCACTTTGCCTTCCAAGATGCTAGTAATCTGGTATGTATTGAGCATATACAGTTTACAGTTTCAATATTTTAAAAATTGAAAGCAGCCACCTAAAAAAATTCAAGTATTGGCTTCATCATCAGAGCATGATATTTATTCAATTATTTTTCAGTATTTCGTCATGGACTACTATAATGGCGGTGATCTCCTGACTGTCATGAGCAAATTTGATGACAAAATGCCAGAAGATCTTACTAGGTGGGTGATTGGTAAAGTGTATTACTCCAGGTTGGCAAAAATATAGCAGCAGTTACAACAGCAGCATTGCACAGCCTAGCAAAGGCAGCAGCAGTAGCAACAACAACAACAACAACAACAACAACAACATTGACAACAATAGCAGCAGCAGCGAGCAATTCTATAGTTAGGAGGCTGAGATACTCTAGTAGCTCATGGTAGTTTTGTATGCAATTTATGTCCAGAACTAAACTCTTCAAGAATCCACTAATTGAAGGTCCAGGAACAATATTTGGTTGGTAACACATTTCCCACTGACGGCGAAATAGCTTTTTGGGCCATGCCCTTTTTCAGCTAAGTACTACCATCCACCGTGACTATCTACAGAACCGTTGTACCTAGGAGTTTGTCCGACCACTCAGAATGTGCGCAATGGCCACATTATGGGGGGTCAGTAATACATTTTTATATCCAAAAGTCAATGGTTTTTAAGATAATTGCCAAAAACATGCGATTTCAGCATGTTACAAACTACAATTATTCGTAATTGTTCCTGTTATTTGGATTTCTACACTTTTTACCTTTACTACAGCTACAAAACGTCACACATTTTATGTTCCTTTTTCTGCAAGTGCACGTTTTGGTACTCATACAAGATGTTGGGCATTTGCATGGAGGGGGCAGGTCATCGGGCCTGCACGATACTGGCAGTATCACTGGTGTTATGCCAACATCCGTTGCTTCATATCCATACTGGAGTGGATCTGGTTTGGTGACTGCGGGAGTTGGGGCTTGCAACCACATCTTACACTGCAGATATGCTCGCTTTATGTGTTCTCGTAGCATTGATGAACAGCACACAAGCTGGTTGAAGTCCAGTTCTTTCTTGGAGTTGTGGTACTGCTCCCATCGATATTCATTGAAAGTGGAACAGTCTGTCTTCTTTAATCCAGACACAAGGAACTTTTCAGCATTGCTTGTTATCTGTGGTGACAGTTCTTCTACACCAAACCCTTCCAGTAGGGAGAGATCCATGGATGCTTTCAGGCCAGACAGCTTTGGACCCACCTTGCTGGTACTGTCGCAACCGCTGAAAGCATGAATAGCTGGGAAACACGACACCAAACCGTTGTCCAGTTGATCAACCAACAGCTGGACTGGTACAGTTTTCTTTGTTTTCTGGTTACCAAGCTTTACGTACAGCTTTTGTAGTTGCCAGGTTTTGTTGAAGTAGAAGATGAGGTTGACAAAGACATCTGTGTCAGGTGAGTCAACCAAGACTGATTGAAGTTGAACCACGTATTTCACAGTACCATCATTAATATGGAACATGATTCTGTCGTTGGCTTCTTCTTGGTTGCTTGAGAGCTCTGCGATCTGTGTTTCAGTGCCTGCTAACAATTTCCTGCATTCACCTCCATATACTCCTCCAAAGAAGATCTCCTTGTCCGGCTCGACATTCTGCAGCATCTACTTGAAGACATACTCCTGCAACCAAACTTTGTTCAACATTGAGCTCCAGAACATATCAAGATCGACAGGGAGTTTCTGATTGCCAGACCTAATGGTGATAGTGATTTGTTCTGAAGAACTTCTCTGTGCCTGTTCCATTTGCTTGATTGATGATTTTTGATAAACATCAAAAATAATGTCTATTCTTGTGGACTCAGAGCCTGTAGCAAGAATGCTGTTGGAAAGACTCAGCCAATTCCCCGAATGTGTGAAGGCCCATCTTTTTCATCGGTAGTTTACGCACAAGTGCCATGAAGTACACTATTGTCATTTGAGCGTCACTCTTTACATTCCTCGTCCCTTGTGGAAGTTGACTGACAAGTTCCCTGGCTAAGGAGGCTTTATCGTGCTTCTTCGATTTGATGCTATCTTTACATTCAGTGGTGAGGAACTGGGATGTGATGGTCAATTCATACTTCAGGAGTTCTAGCATGCTGTACCCTCTTTCTCTAGCATAGTCAATGTACCTAATCGTTTCTGCAGCATCCTTTTTCGCCATCGATTTCTTCGCTGTGGACGGAGTAGAAGTACGTTTCACGAAAACAGTCTTGCGGTTGGTAGGGATTGTATCATGTAGGTGCTTCTCCTTATCCTGAAATCTGGTCTCAACAAATTCTTCTCACCAATTTCCAGGCATTCAAGTAATCCGTCAACAACCTGTGGTATGTCAGCTCCAGTAGAAATGTTCTGAAGTCTGATTCCAGCACCGAACGGATTGTTGATGGATTTTATGTAATCCAGAAGCGTATTCGCACGAACATGGCCAATCTTCGTAGAACTTGGATTGAACTCATGGTTTAGGCTCAGTTCACTGTCATCTTTGTCTCCCAAGTTACACCATTCCAGCAGCTGTGCCACATGAAGATCTTTCTCATGCTTTAGGAGATTCCATAATGCTACTGCTTCTTTCTGTCTAGTCATCCCAATGATACCTCCAGCAACCTTGGGGGGTTTATTGTAACACTTCTCGAGTGCCATGTCAAATCCTACTGCATTGCTTTATCGGAGCGTGTGGTACATCACCCATCCACCATCTGTAAAGCATCTGTAGATACCTGGGAACTGCTTTTGTATGTCCCGGCAATCTTCAGGGAACAGCGTACCCCATCTGCTATAGTTTGTCCGGCCAAACCCGAACAACAAAGGCGGACAGGGCTTCATACTTGAACATCCCCGCGGTCGCGGGCACATATCCCGCGGAACTGCGCGTCTCATCCACGCACAGCGCTTAGGATCAACAGCAAAGCTGGGCCACGCAATCATGTATCATGTCTCTCTGGACTATTCAGGAATCCAGTAATTGAACAATAGGAACAGGAACAATTACGAATAATTGTAGTGCGTAACATGCTGAAATCGGTTTTTGCCAATTATCTTAAAAACCATTGACCTTTGGATATGAAACTGTATTAGGGACCCCCCATAATGTGGCCATTGCGCACATTTTGAGTGGTCGGGCAACCTCCTAGTTACAACGGTTCTGTAGATACAGTCACGGTGGATGGTAGTACTTCGCTCGAAAAGGGCGTGGCCCAAAAAGCTATTCGCCGTCAGTGGGAAATGTGTTACCAACCAAATATAGTTCCTGGACCTTCAATTAGTGGATTCTTAAAGAGTTTAGTTCTGGACATAAATTGCATACAAAACCACCATGAGCTACTCTAGTAAGATGGGTTTGCTGTCGTGGAATGACCAGAAGAAGAGCTTTTAGCATACGACACTGGTTTTTAAGCGCTTGCCTACAATACTAAGCAGCAGCAGCAGCAACAGCAGTAGCAGCAGCAGCAGTAGCAACAGTAGCAGCAGTAGCACCACCACCACCAGCAGCACCACCACCACCACCGCCAGCAGCACCACCACCACCACCAGCAGCTGCAGCAGCAGCAGCAGTAGCAGCAGCAGCAGCAGCACCAGCAGCAGCACCAGCACTAGCAGCAACACCACCACCACCATCAGCTGCATCAGCAGCAGCAGTAGCAGCAGCAGCAGCAGCAGCAGCAATACCAGCAGCAGCAGCAGCAGCCCACACAACGATCAGCTTGCAGCAGCGCAGCAGCAGCATAGCAGCACACAACAGCTTGAGCAGGCAGCAGTAGCCAGCCGTAGCAGCAGCTAGAGCAGCCGCAGCAGAGTAGCAGCAGAGCAAGGAGAGCCAGGAATACAGAGCATTATAACGAGTTTGAGTTTGCGTTCTACATTGCCGAGATGCTGCTGGCTGTCCAGTCCGTCCACCAGCTCGGCTACATCCATCGGGACGTGAAGCCGGACAATATCCTGCTGGACAGCAATGGACACATCCGCCTCGCAGATTTCGGCTCGTGTCTGAAGTTGGGCGCAGACAACCTGGTGCACGACACGACAGCGGTCGGCACACCGGACTACATCGCTCCGGAAGTGCTCATGGTAAGAGCATGGGCGTTAACTGTCCGTCTGTAGTCGGACTTCTGTGTTGCGAAAAAAACGTTTTTTAAAAGTGAATTGCATCTAATGATATCTTAACTATGTATGTTTGTTGTATATTCTTGTATAATAGTGTTTTATCCAAGTTTACACGTTACAAATTAATTAGATTGTAGTATTTTCTAAATTTCTATCTTATCAAAAAATTTCACCAAATGTGTTTTATAATGCACAGAATCCATAGCTTGGGGGGCGGGGCCTTGCCAGACAAATTTTTTTTCAGTCGCCACTTTTTGATGTTAACACCCATGTAAAAGATGCTTGGCAGTATGAAACCAAAACAATGTTTACGTAATTTAGTTTACCAAACGAATCTACCTTGCATCTACCTCATATGTATATCTCTCAAGTATTTTGTCTACATAAATATATATTTCTCATTTACATCTCTGGTACTAATTTATACCCAGATTTAAACTTGGTTCCATCAAGTCTCAAATGAAAGTCAACAATAATCACTGTTGGCCCATGGCATATACTTATGATGTTGTCTTGTCGTTACACAGGCGTTTGAGGATGGCAAGGGAAGGTACGGCCCGCAGTGTGACTTCTGGTCTGTTGGCGTCGTCATGTACGAGATGTTGTTTGGAGAAACTCCGTTCTACGCGGAGTCGCTCATCGAGACGTACGGCAAGATCATGTCACACTACATGAAGAAGGTAGGTGCAGTCGCACCGTTCTCGTGTGATTATGTCGTCGCTGTGCAGGGTGTAAGCTGGACAAAAAAAATGTTAGCACTATATGTAATTTGGTCTGAAAATGTTTCATCGAATTCTACTAAGACTAACTATGTAATGTATTCGTGTGTGTAGCGAAGGCCACTTTGATAATCTTCGGTCTTTTCCGGAAAAGTTTCGGCAATGGGTAAACAAAGAACACACGCAGTGTACCTCATGCTTTGGGTTAGCAAGTAGCGATCTCGTGTAGAATTCGAGTGGCCTATGAATTAGCTTGTAGCGGTCGCTATATAGTGGGTAGAATTCGAGTTCAGTCTGAAGGGCCTATTTCGCTTTAGCTTTTTCGCGAATTTATTATGACATTCTTTCGCCAAATTAAACTTTAATTCGCATTTGGAAAATTAGCAAACGACAGCTTAAACCTTGCTGTGTCTGTCGAACTATTTGTTAACCATTCTTACACCAACAGACTTTGAGTCTGATTCAACCTCGAGGCGCAATTCTTTTCTGTAGAAGGAGTTTGAGTTTCCGGAGGAGGTGGATGTGACAGAGGACACCATGGACCTGATCACCCGCATGTGTCTGCCGGCGCATGAGCGGCTAGGCAAAGGAGGCATCGACGACTTCAAGACTCATCCATTTTTCACCGGTATAACTTGGGAGGGCATAAAAGACGGTGAGGCATATTTATAATAATATGGTAGCAGTGTGCGTTAGAATGGCTAGGAGAATTGATGATTATAATGTGAATAGAATAATGATAGACATAGGTGCAATAGTTCATAGAAACTGACTATTGTTAACTAAAATCATTAGTATCATTTTGGTTTACATGGTTAGTTTTAAACACTCATATAAGTTGTTTTTATTTTCTATGTAACAAACGTAATTTTTTTTACAATTTGCAAGTATTTGTACGTATATTGAGAATAATACGTAAATGTTCTAACGTTTCAAAATGATTAAACTCTGATTATCACCCCCCTCGATCTCTACCACTTCTGCATTGTTTTTATATCATTACTCCATATCGAGTATAATGCATTTGGAAGCTTTCTTTCTGAGACATTTTATGACATTAATAGAGCCTTCTGTTCCGTTTTATTTTGTTGAATGCCTCTTGATAAATAGGAAAAAATAATATATATAAAACAAAATAAATTTGTCTGTTTGTTAGGTCCAGCACCATATAATCCTGGAGTAACCGGTGAAACTGACACGTCAAATTTTGATTGCGATGATGTAGACTTCAAGCCTTATGTGAGTGACAGTACTTGTATGCTTTAATTGGAAACACCACAATGTCAGAGTGCTTTTGTATTGTATTGCTTTTGTGCTATTATATAGCTACAAGTAACCATAAGATTATACAATTATTTAACAATGTGCTTTTATTTCTATAATATCATTAAACGGGTTTCATCACTTCACAGACCGAAGGTTCCAGGCATTAATTAAAACTGCCGGTCTGGTGTTATTGTCGACTAGAATACAGACGACACCATATATTCTTAGTTCGAATCGTGAATGTGATTCTACGGCAACTGCTTCGTGGTTGTCTATCTGTCTCTTCTCAGCACAGATTCTTGATTTGTAAGATGTTGTTTGTGATCCAGGATGCTAGTCCACCCAAGGCACACATAGCTTTCTCCGGTCATCATCTGCCTTTCATTGGATTCACCTACTCGGACATGCTGTGAGTACTCCGATGTCGCAGAGTTGTCTAATGTTGTTGTGCAGATGCCATAAATATGCTGCACCAATCCACAAGCATATGCTATCAGTCACTTAAGTGTGCGTTTATATATGCACTAACTTGCCTCTCGCGTATCTATCGGGTTGTTCATATACACATCCCCACATTTATTATCATGCGTTTGTACTTGCATACATATATGGTCACACTACGGTGCTTGCAAGTACTCGCACACCAAAAGAATCTGCAAGTGCACGTAACCACGAGAGCGTACGGTTCCACACTCTCACTCACATTTGTATGTGTGGTTGTGTGCATGCCTGTATGCGTACGTGGTATGTATCTGTATCTGTGTCCAGATCTGTCTTTCTGTCTGTGTGTCTGTCTGCATGTCTAGCCATCTGTGTATGCATATTTGTGCATACGTGTACTCGTATCTGTATTTGTATGCATACATGCCTTTGTGTCCATGTATATGTTGCAGAATTAAATTAAAGTCTAACTATCTATCTTAATATCATTATTCCAGAAAAATCTCTGATTGCAATAGCCTTATGGGGCAGGCTCGTGGTGCAGCAAGTGCAGACATGACAGATGGAGATGACCTTCTTGAGAGAATTAAAAACCTAAAGAAAGAAAACAAGGAACTTGGAGGCCAGATCCTAAGTAAGATTTTATGTAATATAGGCATTACCTGGTACATCCCTTTACTCCATCATTTTGTAGTATAACTTCTTATCAGTTATGGATGTATTTATTATCAAGAGCAGATAAAGAAGGCTTTCTTTATCTGCTCTTGTTATTATATATAGGTTATTATGTGAATAGGGTGTTTTATTTTGCATTTTGCTTGTATGTTGCCAACCATGAGTATCTCAAGTTTTAACTTGACCAACAAGAGATTTTGCATGAATCAGTTTTATTGAAAGATGGTTCATGCCAGTTACAAGCTGTACATCAATCCAATCCCCATCTCATTGTGCCAAATTTCATCTGTATTTTTACAGAGTTTGCTACAAGAAAGAGTTCTCATAGTGTATAATTTCCATATTCCTCTGTAAACATTATTGAAACACTTATCATATCAGGTATCTGGTAATGTTATGTACACATGGATTTTCTGCGCGTGTAAATATAATTCTATACATTCTATAATTTCTATACATCTGTTGTTACTGTGCAAAGGCATTCCAGATTTTGAGGTTATTGAGGATACCACACAGCCTCACGTCATGAGAGATTATGTTAGACAGCTCCAGGAAGAGATCAACTCTCTCCGAATGTCAATGCGCTGTGAGTAGCGTTTATTCTAAATTGCTTTTCCCCCAAGAAAAATATCATGAAGCCTAATTAGGGTTATAAGCATGAAAGGAAACCTTGAAATGGCTCCTGTCTTTAACAGGGCTGATTATTTTGGTACCAATTGCCAAAGTTATTTTATTATTGAGAATACATATGATTGCAATCAACACATATACCTTGTTGATACCAATGCTTGGATTTCTTTTTTGGAAGTACATGAAAATGCCACTTTATTGTATGTACATACAAATGTACTACTGTCGTCTATTATATTGTTTTGATTCAGTGTCCACTATACTATCACCTACTATGTTTATGAAAGCACCCACTTGTGCCAACTACTATATTATTTGATAAAATGTCTTTATCACAGAAGGAAGCTATACATAAACTACATTAATTTGTGCTCACATTTAATGAACAGCACTATCCATTACAAAACTGTGGCAGTGCTCCTAAACGTGTCAGCAATTTTACTTGGCTTTTAATGAACTCTAAAGAGTGTAGTGCATCGTTTTCTTCTTCTTCTTCTTCTTCTTCTTCTTCTTCTTCTTCTTCTTCTTCTTCTTCTTCTTCTTCTTCTTCTTCTTCTTCAATGTTTTCTTGCTTGTAGTTGCTGAGTTAAGGACAGTGGAGCAGGATAGTACTCTACAGCATCTGAAGCAAGCCAATAAGAACCTAAACACACAAGAAGGAGAGAGAGATGAGGTCATCAGCCAGCTCAAGGACAACATCAGTGTCCTTGAGCGACAGAAGGAGGAATATAGTGCGGTAAGTGCGTGGCAAAATGGTGAGTGTGTGTAACTGTTGTACACATTTGTTCAGCTTATATTCCATGGCTGTTTAAATAAAAATATGTTTACTAATTATTAAATATTTAATATCCACCTATCTATCTGTCTATCAGTCCGTCTGTCTGTATGTCTGTCTGTCTGTCTGTCTGTCTGTCTGTCTGTCTGTCTGTCTGTCTGTCTGTCTGTCTGTCTGTCTGTCTGTCTGTCTGTCTATCTGTCTGTCTGTCTGTCTGTCTGTCTGTCTGTCTGTTTGTTTGTCCGTCCATGTTATCATCTATACATCAATATGTGTAATAGGGTAATACCAAAGCATTTAATAACGTATTTTATAATTTAAAACGAGCACGTTGATGATGTGTCAACTTCATCTCTTAAGCTAAAGTCACACCAAGCTCCCGGACCGCGCCGGACTGATCCGGGGAGAGATCCTTGTTGGGTCCTGGACGGTCCTGGACGGTCCGGCCCGGTCCGGGGTGGTCCTTGATGGTCCGGCGCATTCCGGGATATTGCCCCGGATGTTTTAAACTGTTTAAAATTGCCGGGGTGATCCGGGACGGTCCGGGAAGTTTTCACCATCCGGGGTGGTCCTGGACGGTCCGTGGCGCGTCGTGGTAGGTCCGGGACAGGCCGTGTAGGTCCGGGACAGTCCGTAGTGGCACCGTGTTGAACCGGGCCCACACCGTGTTGAACCGGCCCATCCGTGGCCATCCGTGTCGTTTTTGTCGCCCACGGATCACTACGGATCAAGCCGGACCCAACACGGATGGGAGCACGGATGGGCCAGGACCGGGCCGGACCAGGCGGATCAGGTCCGTGGCGGTCGCGTGGCGGTCCGAGGCAGTCCGGGGCGGTCTGTAGTGACTCCGTGCTGGGGCGGCTTCATCCGGGCTCAATCCAGGATGGTCCGTGGCGCTGCCGTGCTGGTCCGGCCCGATCCGGCCCGATGATGCATTTTTTCACCCGGATCGCCACGGATTATAAATTTTACGGTCCGGGGAGATCCTGCCCCATCCGCGGTAATCCGTGGACAGTCCGGCCCCAGTGTGACTTTAGCTTTACACCTCTCTCTTTAAAAAAAAATCTTAATCTCAAGAAACTGTTAATTTGACATGGCATTCAAGCAGTTCCGAGCATCATTATCTCGTGGCATGGTATTACACTGTGTCAGCCTAGGATTACCGCCAATGTTAATATCAGGGAAATGCCTAGCTTAAGATTAAACCTCACATTCTTCCCCAGGCACAAACGCACCTGGATGAGGTTCAGATGCAATTGCAAAGTGAGAAGCGTGACAAAGAGCAAAGCCAAGAATATGCTAAACAATTGGAGGCACAGTTGGAGAAGCTTCAGCAGAATCAACAGCATGTCGACCCAGAAATATTCATGGATATTGCAAGGTGATGATTATTGTGAAGGTGGTATTGCGATGTGGCTATAAAGTCCTGGTTTGTTTGCGCCTATAATTCTCTGAATGCTCATCATGGTACTAATTCCAAATTTATATTCGTCTAAATAGACTCAAGTCAGAGCTAGAGCAAAAAGATGTGCAGCACAGCATTGCAATCGAAACACTGCAGGGAGAAAGCACTGAGGCTCAGAAGAAACTAGAAGACAGTGAATCCAAATTCCAGGCTCTCGAGAAGGAAACACAACAGAGCAAGAAATCATTGGAAGAGTAAGCATTCCCTTTCAAAACTCAAAATGCAGTTTAAATAACCTGAAGCACGTTATTTGGCATCACAACTATCATGTAAATAAGCTGAATTGTGAATTCTAACCAGTTCTGTCACACATGCTGTCTATCGTTCTGCTTCATTTGTGGGTACATTTGCTTCGCTGTCTATGCAGTATTGTAGAGGAACATGCACTAAAGACTAGAGTACTGGACCAGCAGCACGGTAGAGAGAAGGCTGCTCTTGAGGAAGACAGATCTAGGTTGCAATCCAGTGTTGAACAGGTGAATATATAATTGCATCTGCATGTGAAAATGTTCCCAGTCGTTAACAATTTCCTGAAGAATTGTTAATGGATTTATACTTCCAATTTCACTATGTACTATGATTATTTAAAGAGATCTTGTTGGAGATTTAGGAGTCCTAGACCCATAGACGATGAGTACTCTATTTCCTATAATGTAAATGTACAGACAGCGTCTACTGCTGTAAATTATTGTTGTTGTTGTTTCTTATTAATGTCGATTTAAGTCTCGATTTAAGTCTCTGGCCTCAAGGATATGGGAAACAATTCCTCTTGAAATTAAAACCTCACCTCACAGTAAATTTAAACATGATTATAAGCTATTCCTTCTTGCCAGCCAGTAATGATCAATTAAATTAAATTAGTGCATGTTATTTATAGGACCATTGGAAAATAGTTATATATTATATAATTGCTTTCTTGTTCTTGTTACTTATTATACTTATTACATCAATTGTATTTTTTGGTCTACTGTTCCATATATGTATGTATGTATGTATATATATTTTTCCTCTTATTTCCTATATTTTGTTTAATTGTACTTTTCCCTCAGTCATTTTATTACCTGTGGTAGTGGTCAACTCGAAAGCTTATGGCTACTTTGACCACTACGCACATTCACCTTAAACCTATCGATTCTATAATATTATTTATTTCTCTCCCTTTTTACTTCTATCTTAAATTATCTGTACAAATGAATGAAAAGTGCAAAATAAAATAAATCTGAATCTGAATCTAATGTACCATGCATTTTACGAATGTTGAGTGATTGCAAATCTCTTACTAAAGTGCTTGTACTTTTGCAGTAAAAATTTTCCTCTTCTTTATTTTTTTATTTATCACACTTACCTCTACAGTTCCATGACGAAGTCGAAAAGCTCATTAGTGAGAAACACCAATTAGTTGATGAGATCGATGACCTCAAGATCGAGGTCGAGAATCAGCGTGTGCCGAGCGAAAAGGTATGTAAGAAATAAAAGGTTCTTTCGGTGAGAATATTTAAGATGGTTCTTTGGGTCATTTAGACAGTGGGCTAGATATAAAATCTAGACGGCATTCATGAACCAGTATCATAATACAGTAGGTAAATGCGATAGAATTCAATACAATGTTAGAAAATGAAAGTTGAAGTGGATGAACCAGTTCTACCTAGTTGTGTTTGCTATGTGCTTTTCTCTTACACGCAATAAATCAAGAAAGTGCGTTTAGAATGCAGTTCATATACCCTTTAATTATTAATTTATTTGTGAGGCTGACTGTTAAACCTGATGGTGTAGTCAGTGGTACATTTCGACGCTTGTGTTTATTGCTTAGGAGGAAGCCTGGAAGAGAAAGCGAACACAGAAAGTGGAGAAGATGGAGCTATTGCAGCTGCAGTCCACAGTCCAAGCTGAGGTCGCTGCAAAGCAGGATATTTCTGATGAGTTGGCGAAGAGTGCAGCAGCAAGGGCTGAAGCAGAAAGGTAGGCTCGCATGCAAGTTTATGATTGCTAATTTATAGTCATAGGAGCCAACTAGGAGACTCTAATATCAGTATAGATGCAGGTGGAGTGAATACTGCCAACGACAGTCTTTTGTATATTATGCTGTTGCTATCACTCCTGGCCTGTGGTTTAAAAAGCCACAGTAAAATGCCATCATGCAGTATTCACATTTAATTGGAAGCCATTTCGTATAACTTTATCTATATCTAACTATTTCAAACAGTATCTTTATGTATTCAAATCTAACTGGTGCCACACATCATCAAGTTAAGTAGTTTCTACGGAAGCTGAAAATACATAGAGGTTACATAGCGAATTGTGTTCGTTTGGCTGCATGCGTTGTTGGTTATAGTTGCATCCACTAGTAGAGTTGCGCGCATGTAGTCACTTGACGTGCCTTTGATAAGGGCAATGGGTAAATGATATTTAATAAAGGTAAATAAGGGTAAATAATATTTGTTTCTATTGATGTCTGCAGCAAGCTCAGTCAAGCTGAGCAGACGATTGAAGATCTCAGGAAGGAGCTCCATCTGCTGAGGAACGAAATTAGGCAGCTGCGCAGCAGACCGAATGGCGACGAAGGTAAAGAGATGGGGATGATGATGATAGTGAGGATGAGTGTGAGAGTAAGGAGCGAATGGGGATGATGATGATGATGATGATAGTGATGATGATGGCGAGAATAAATCTGATGAATCTGATGATGAGGGTAACAATGCTAATGATGATTATGGTTGATAACATGGTTACATAAATAATAAAGTAATAATTAAATTATACATAAGACTGCTATTATGTAGTGTCCATTATAAGCTGTAGCAGAAGTGTAAATGTTTGTCTCACGTTACAGACTTGAGAAGTGCCTCCCATTTCTCCTGGATAGAAAAGCTGTTCCGCACTCACTTGCCCTCACATAGCGTGGTACGTACTAAACTACAGTGAGTTGAGTATGGAGCATGAGAATCAGTATAACTGTATAATGTAGTAACAAATGTAGCCCTACTATTCCTCTCCTGTCTAGCTTGATATTCTTGCTAGCTTTGTTGTGTAGTTAGGTTGTTTAGACGTTTGGCTAGATAAAAATCTAGACAACATTCATGAACTAGTATCATAATTTTTATAGGGTATAAAAATGCGGTAGAAATTCAACACAATCATTAGAAAATGAAAGCTATGAGAAGGGACTTCTAGAGAGGGTGTCATTATGCGGACTGGTTACCTGGCCTCCGTAGACAACCCGTAATCTAGAATCTCTGTTTCAGTTCTGGTCGGATGAGGACGACGACTGGACGTCGTCCTTCAGTGGACGTCAAGGTAACAGGAATGTCGATGACTGGGTGAGCTGGATCGATGAGAAGCCAGGCACGCGTATGATACGGCAGGAGCGTGTCAGTAGGCAGGGCTCCCGGCCCGCCGACACAACCAGGGTAAGAACAGATGATGGCTCTGGGTGTTCTAGGCCAGGAGATTCCTTTAGCACCAGTGAGGTTTAGTCGTGTACTTGGAATCACAACGAATAAATGCGTACAAGTTCATGCCTATGTGGTGTTTCCACCTCCGTTGGGCGAGCAGTAAGCCATGCAGCCATACATTTGAGGAGGTAGATATATAATGTATAAATGTTTCTATATGTGATGCACATAATGGTCCAAGTGTACAGTACCGTACAGTGTTTACCTCTTTAGCCGGCGACCGTCAAGGAGTTGAATTGATTTTAGCTATCAACTCGGTGAAGTCGCTTCTCTTCTGTGTGGCCCGTTTAACCTGCTGAACAGTGACTTGTAACATATTGGCGATGAGTTCCCACGGATCTCTGTGTGCAAGTTCAACAATTAATTAAACGAAAATAGCAAACGTGACTGCTTGAATGGTAATGGTGCATAGTTTGAGCAACAACAGCTTCTTAACTAATTAGTTTTGTCCTATTCAGAAGCCTATAACAACGTGACACGTTAATTCGTCAATGTATAGCATGGTCTGTATGTTGTTTGCAGGGGTAGAAATTAACTTTTGAACAAGGGAGTCCAACGGACTCCCTGCCCTCAAAAAGAGGAGGTCCGCAGCAAAATGAGGGAGTCCGCAGTTTCAAGTTCAAAACTATAGATATTAACAATAACGCGTGTGCTTATTTTGAAGATTCATGCAGTTGCGCGTCTGCCAAATTGTCTCTGGACAGTTGCTGAAAAATACGGCAATTCTGCGAGGCCGTGCTCTGGAACGAACTAGTTAGTATAGCAGAATTTTCAGGGAGTCACACGGACTCCTGCATATGTCAAAACAGGGAGTCCGACAGTACATCAGTGAGTATTTGACTCGGGACTTGCGTTAATTTCGCACCCTGTGTTTGCAGGTGGTGACTGTAGGGGAGAGCCACCACTTTGCTCTGCAGACTCAGCGCAGTGACGAGAGATGTGCGACTTGCAGACGATCGTTCCCAGGCATCAGTAACCAAGTTCTCGTCTGCCAATGTAATCAACATGCACATTATTATAATCAGTGGTTAATATTGGCAAATGATTTGTCATTATTAACCCTTGTTATAATCCACATCGCACCTGTTTTGCCATTTCCCTAATTTCTCCCGAATGCAGTGTTTTTCCCGAGTTGTGTTTATGAATGTTTAATATCCAAAGTCGAGGATATTACCGAAAGTATTTGCAAGGAAGCAGAATTCTACCTCACAGAAATTCTGTAAAAACATTTATGGCACTGCATAGCTGTTGCTGCATGTGACTTGGGATTAACCTTAAATCATTAACGAACAACTAATGTGTCGTAGATTTTTAGCAGTGCGATGCGGTTCAAAATTGATTTCAAAATCTCAAAATTAAATTTTTGATATCAAATTTAAATTTTAAAATTAATTTCAAACTTAATTCTGAAATTTCGCTTTTTTTCAGCCTGCGGCATCGCCTGCCATTTCGAATGCAGCAAGTCCGTCCCGGTCGCCTGCACCTCGAATTACACAGTGCAGACGCCCGGCTCAACCCACCCCCCCAGCCCGGCTCCCTCGTACGCATCCTACAAGTCGCTGCCGACAAGCACTCCACCCGCGTACGCCTCCTACATGTCCGAGTCCACCTCGGAGCCCGCGTCCGCCTGTGAAACGCCATCAGGCAGTAAGACCCCCACGTTCACAACCCCCGGGTACGGCAGCAGCGGCGGTGGCAGCGTCGCGAGGTTTACCACCAACATCAACATCAAGGTCGGCAGTAGGCGCGGCGGATCTGCGCCACCGGCGCCGGTTGGCACCGCGCCAGGAATCACCGACTTTGCCGTGGAGACGAGTGACTCGTCTGCGGCGTCCAGCAGACGGTCGACGTCGGCGGATCTTCCGGCGGCGGCCGCCGTGGCTCGCGAGGCTGCGTCACAGATGAAGGTATTTGCAATGCTGATCACAGTGTGAAGTAAACTATACGATGATGCTGATCGCAGGCCAGATGCTGTCGTTGCTGTGCACACGTTAGTCCACTAGCATAGCATTAGCACAATGCTGTTATTTCCATATCATACCAAGAGTCCATAATAGAGTTCATAATAGAGTCTCTCTTTGTCTTATGGACTCTTGATATATACATATATTATATATATAATAT